GTGTTTTTTTGCCGTTTTATAAATTGATAAAAGAGATTTTTCTCACATGTCTACCTTTCTAACTTGGTCTAGCCTTTGTTTTAAACCAGCAGTTATGTTGTACTGGAAGCTAAAGGGTCACATCCTGCTCTACACCAAGCTGCTACTTGATTTTGGAGGAATCAAGACAACCTGCATGCAAGAGAAAGCAGAGTGTGGCCCTGAATTCTTAGTTTAAATAGCAATCTCCTTTTGTGTCTGGAGCTTTCTTCTCAGGAGAATCAGGTGCTTTTTTTGGTGTGTGTACATCAGTTGCAGTGATTAAATATAGAGGAAAAACAGCAGTGGTTTTCTATGGGTAACCTGTCTGTTTTAGAGGAAGGGATAAAACAGTTTCTTGGGTGCTAAAAATAGCATCTCTCCTGTTCACTGCTCACTGGGGTAACTGTAGGTGTGTAAATAATCTATAGGCCAGCTTTTGCCTTCAGAGAAGAAAACTGATTTACTGGAAGTGAAATGAAGTTTTAGTTTTCTTAATTTTCCCATGACCTAAAGGGGCATTATATCATATGTGTAATTCATCCCACATCACCCAACATATTCCCTGCCATAACTAAGTAAGCAATACAGGACTGTCCCATTTGAAAAAAATTACAAGATAGGTTCTGGTGAAGAATTTTGATGGGATTAGCCTTCTAGCTCCAATCATTGAGTGCTTCAGTGCCCTGAAGGGTTTCCTGCCTTGCCTTTCTCTGCTGCACACACTGCTTCCTTAGCCCATTCAGCTCCTACTGCTCTGAATAATAGTTTAGAGTGGAATTACAACTGTCCACAGCTCAATGGACATCAAAGATACTGTATTTTGATTAAATCAACTAAGGTATGAATTTACATCAGGCTCACTATCACCACGTTCTCCAAGTGCCACATTTCTCTCTCTATGCTTTTGAAGGGATACAAGTAATAAAGTGAACAGAACGGATTTTTGCCATTTCCACTGCAAATGCAATAGACAGGAATTGGGATTAATGTAGAGGTGCTGCAGTAGTCTTAATAAGCAAAGTCAGATAAGTTCACATGTCATGGTTAATTAAATCCAACTAAAAATTGCCTTTTATAACTTCTAACAAGTTTGGTGATGGTAAATTTATTGTATTATGTAAATGGAGCAGCATTTGGGTTTCTAAGACAGCCATACACAAAGGAAATTAGAACAACCTTTGCTTGCATACCTGACAGACATATCTACACACAGCACTGCAGGAAAAACAAGTGTGGCCTCACTGCTGCAGTAAATGGTCTGTCACAGGGCAGTGCTGCAGCTTCACAGAAAAGCAGAAACAACTAAACGAGAAACACCACGAGGCAGAGGCAAAACTCAGCTTTTCCTGCTGTTGATTGCTGCCAATATCAGCCTGCAGTCCTCTATGAGCGAGAAAGGGTTTCACTGTAACAAATGTGTTAATGAGAGAATACCTCTGACAGCTTTTTTGGAGCTAGTTGTGAGGTAGCATGGGGTTTTTCTGTTCCATCATCTTCACTTTTCCAAGCTTACTCAGGGCTTAACATGGGGGGTTTCTTGCAGTTCTCAGTGTGTCACCTCCTCAGAACCTTGCGCTGATCAAAAACTGCTGGAAGGGGTCAGCCTTGTAGTGTGCCTAAACCCACTGAGGGGGAGGGCTGTGTGCTGGCCCTGTAGGATTAGTGGCCATGCTAGCAACACAGGCAGGATGGGCTGGCCCCACTCAGGGCAGCACAAGCTTGGATGAGCTTTTCCTGTTACAGCCTGGCACCATCACCAGCATTTCTGTGGATGCACCCAATCTGCATCCATCCTGCTCTTCTCCTTCCCATACCAGAGCTAGAGGTGTGAAATTTCAAACTCAACATTAACCTGGGGTTTTCAGTGAACTTGATAAACACTGATTTTGGCAGCTGTCCCCTCTGTTCCCTTCATTTCTGCTGGGCCAACTGTCTGTCAGTGCACTGGGGCCGGGAACTGATCTCAGTTTAACAACTTGGCAGAGATCAAGTGGCTCCTAGGATGGATTGGCATGCAAGTGACTCACACTGGGGTGCTGGATGCAGTTTAATCTGCACTGCAAAGGCAGCTGTGTTTTTACAGACTTTGGTGTAAGGTGTGTTCTGTGTGGACTTCCCCCAGCACCACGAGCACGGGAAATGAGGAATGAGGAAAGCATGGGATGCACCCATATCCAATGCTTTTGAATTGTAAAGTTGGCCAGATGTTGCATTAGAATAAAATCTGAATCCCCCATGACAGTCAAGTTGTTCACCTAAATCTTTTCTGTGCGCTGTACCTTCATATTTTCGACATTATTTTCAATGAAACTCCCTCCTGTAGCATCTGTCTTGAACTCCTTCATGTTACTTCCCTTCTCCCTCTTTCTATCCGCTTTGGTGTTTAGATTTCAGAATTCTGACCCCAAAACAAATTGCCTTTCTGGTTTTCCAGAGAACTCGAATGGTGTGGAACCAAGGAGGTTTCTTGCAGATGCAATTCACATTTACCAGTACAGAGGGTAAATAAAAGCAATGCTTTGGGCAATGGCCCACACCCTCTACAGCACTCCCTAATTAAATTTCTCGATTGTTCTTTCTCTCATTCCTGTGAGTCAAATAAAAACCCCAATACTTACTAGGGTCCAAAAGAGGTAAATAGTGAAGAGTGCCACAGTGAGTGCAATGAGGCCAACAGCTTCTAGCCTACTACGAAAGTGCAGATGGTCCACTGCTCCTTGCAGACATAACCAGCCAGAGACGGTCGCCAGTGGGGTGATAAACAAGAAGCACACCATGTCTCCAAAGAGAGTCCTCCTCTCATGCTGGGGGCCTGGGTTCCTCAGCCACTGCAGGCAAAATGCAGAGAAAGCAAGTGTTAGCGCAGGAGGAAGGACGTTTTACCCAGGGTGAGCTGCTTACTTGGAGGACGCAGACCTGCCCCTTCGAGGAGGGAATGTGGATCACGCATGGGACATGGCTTTGGCTGTCCGTGGAGACCTGCCTGGGTTTCTCCCCCTCTCTTCCTGCTGGTGTCCACCTCTATCCATGTGTACCTACTGCATCATTTATTCAGATTCCCTGCCTTGAGAAAGGGAAGTGTTTTGCACAGTGCAGCCTCTGGCATTTGGCTCCTGAGCTGCTTGAGAACCCCCCTTCTTAATGACTGATGATTCATGTGCTTTCCTTACAACTTGAGTGAGCAGAAAATGTTTCATAAGTTGTATGGTATTTTAGGGTTTGGTTTGGTTTTGGGGTTTTTTGGGAGTTTACATGGTTTTGGGGGGTTAGATTTTTTTTGTAATATTCACAAAGCCATTTTCAACTTGCTTTCAGGTATCCACATGCAAGCAGAGTTGAATGTTATTTTTACTAAGAGAATATTAATCTTGCAAGAACGGAGTGCCTGAAAGCCAACTGCTGAAGCAAAGGTTAAGACTGAACAGCTATCAAGCCCACACGCCCATATTTCTATAAAGAGGATTTGAGATAGCAAAGGTGAAAGAACTTAAACCTACAATAGTACAATTGAGGCCTTTAAATAAAAAAAACCTCATCACACAAGTCAATATTTAAACAGGAAGACTACCCAGCACTGCAATTTTTGCCAATGTAATAAGATGTAGAATTTGGTCAAACCTGCTCTGCAGCATCCTTTTATGGGTTTTCTCTGTGCTAGCAGAACCAGATAAGGCTCATGCATCCTTAAACTGTTTGGTACTATCATTCCTCCCACTGTGTTACACATGGCAGTAGAAGTCCCATCTCTTTAGCTCCAGAAACTAAGGCTGGGGAAGCAACTTCATCCTTTCACCAGTTAATGCCCTTAATTTCCAGCCACCTTAGGGTTGTTTTTTTTAATTCTTTCCTATTACAATGCTACAGCAATGACTTGGAGGAGCAGTAGGACTTGAGAGTTTTGACAAGGCTAAGAGCAATGTGCAAGCTAATGAATATTTCTCATCCAGATATCCCACCTCTCTACTGTTTTCAGCTTGTGCTTCATCTTTGCCCAATTTCCCCACAGCATGAAAACAAATACTGCATTTATCTCTCCATCTTCATATGGGGTAAATAAGAGTCAGGAAATTGACCAGGAACTAACCTGGCACCAGCAAAAAGACATAAATCAGTAGACAAGTTTGTTTCAGCATCACCACCTCTTAGGACAAAATAATAAATAATCTACTTCACAGGATTTTTGGGGGGTTTAACTGCAACAGGCTAACTCAGCAGTCAAAGATCCACTCTCATGTGCAATTCAGGAATTCAGAAGAGCACAAAAATATGGATCAGAAACATCTTTTTGCAGGATGCAGGCTTTTAATTTGCTTGAATACTTTTAAAATCCTAAGGAATTGGGAGGTGCTTCATAACTGTTCTGTACTACTATAAGCAAGAACTTGTAATGGAAGATACTAATTCTAGAGAGAGGCTCAATACCGTTTTTTTCCTTTCCTTAACCAGATGTGGTAAGTTCACCTCAATGTGCAACTAGCACCCACACAGCCACTTGCTCGTTCCTCCATCCCACCAGTATGAGGGGGAGAACAGCAAGAGGCAGCAAGCAGAACTTGTACAAAATAAGGAGACATACCTCTACATTTGAACAGTTTTCTTTTTACTGCAGTTTCTAGAGAATGCTATGAAGTCATGTGTAAAAGGCTCGCACCACTTTCTTTGGAACTTTCAATCAATTTACTTAAAAGCACCCCCAAGGGTGCATGGATAACATATCTAGGTTATATTTGGTTGCTTCTAAACAGAACTGATTGCAACCTCCCCCTTGTTCAATTTCCACGAGTACCTGTAATGTGAAACCACCAAGGAAATAAGGGGGACTGAAAGCACCTGAAAGTTAAGATTCTGCTTAAATTTAAAGGTGACTGCAACAAGGTGTTGTGAAAAGTACTTGTTTAAAAGGTGGCCAGGAATAGAAATGCTGAGCACTCACATTTCTCCTCGATCTCAGTAGGAACTGCAGGTGTTCACCACTTTCCCAGGGCATATTGAAATGCCACTCCCTCCTTATCTCGGTGCCATTGCTGACTGTCTCCCTGTAACTGAGTGATGAAGAACACACTGCAACATATGAGTCCATTCAGTGGAGCCGGCATTCTCAAATTGCAGTCTGTTGGGGTACTTTTGGCATCCATGAAGCTCAGACAGTGCAAGAAATAGGTCACAGATCTGAGCAACAATGCAGGTGAGGGAGTACACACACTAAAGCATGTGTTGTCCTCTCCACTCTATAACTTTCACGAGGTGCAGTACAATACATTTGAATTCAGACAGCACTTTTTGGTGTGCCACTTTATGTGACTGAAAGTTTGAGCAGATAGAAATGGCATGAGGCTGCTTTCACAGGCTGATGGCTTCCTGCAATCTTTATGTCATGTGACATATGAACAAAGAGTCAAATATTAGATGAGGCCACGACAGGCAAGAGTAGTATTAAATAATAAATAAACCCATCACAATTCTACAGTCTAACCTTAAAGCTGGAGGAATTTCATTAGCTAGTTCTGAAGTGGAAGTCAAATGCAAAGATTAAGTTATTTCAAAGGCTATATGGATTTCAGTCACAGCACATATTTTTCTCCTGAAGTAGTGCACACCTGTTTCTAAGTCTGCCCCTGTTTAGACTCTAGGTTTCAGTCTTTTGTTTTGGAAATGTGCACTCTCAAGTTATTTTATAGCTAAAAAGCCAAATAAGCAAATCCTTTTGTGAAGCTGATACTCACAGAACGAAACCAACAAAGCACTGAGCTGATTAATTAGTGTGATAGTAGGGTAGGGATTACCTTGATGGCAAAGAACAAGATGTAAGGCCAGATAAAGCTGTTAGATCTGCACTATGACACTAAAATCTCTCCTATTAAAATGTGTCAATGGACTTAATTATTTCTGCAATACATCAAGACTCTCACAGTAATAATATCCATTTGGGGGAAAAAAAACCAAAAATGAGGTCATAAAAAGGGTCATATTTGAAGTAAAATGTTGACCTGCCTAGTAAAGCTCCATTTTATCAAGTGCTATCAAAAAGTGAACAGAGGCCAGAAGAAGGGAGAACTGAAGGGGGACATCGGTGAAGTAAAAGTGCTACTTAAGCTAATGTACAATGTTGAGATAATAGTTGGCCACAAAAGGGTAAGGATCAGAAAAATATTCCCATCCTTCAGAGGATGCAGCTCTGGAATAGCCTCTCATGAGGAGGAGTGTAGGTTAAAACCCATAAAGCTGGCACAGTTATATGAAGGAACTTGCTTACATTTTGAAAGGGATTTTTGATTTACTGCATTTGACTTGAGAAAACACTGTTAACAAACCTGAGTCTCCTCCACCTCACACACTGCCACATGTAAGCACATGCAAGGATTTATTGCATTTACTTCACAGAGTTGAATTTGGAGTCTCCACACTTCCTTCAACTTGAATGGAAATTCTAGCGCTCAGAAACTTCATGTGGATTTGCAACAGTCTCTGAGAGACTTTTGATCTACAAGCCCACTAATGGCTTCCAAAATATTACCTGGTATTTAGAACTGCACATGAAACCAGATCTATGGAACTGTCAAAAATCCCCTTTCGAGTGAGAATGTAAAGAGATGTTTATTTGACAATACCAAATAATCTGAAACTCCTGAGATGAGTGAATCAGCTCAGTTTCCTTTTAACGGGTTTACTCCATCCTGCCTAAGCAAACATAACTAGAGACAGGAGAACTGCTCCTCTGAAAAGGGAGACAGGCTGAGGCATCAGCACAAGGTGCCAGCGAAGCGAAGAATTGGAGAAGGAAATCATTAGAACAAGCAGCAACTGAAGATCAGAACACACAGGAGATGCACACATTCAGAATTCATCCATCCTAACCAAAATCAGCTGCCAGTAGGAAACTGCTGTAAAACACCTACAGAATTTTGAGCTACTTCACCATTGCCAAAGGGTAGATCCTTAGAGTGCTCATATCTACAGGTCTAGCTTCAATTAGGTGACTCACAAATGCTAAGTAAAGTATGTATATAGTGTTTTTCCCAATTAGACCCTAAGGCTACGCCCTGTTTCTGCTGGAGAGCTCTTCTAGTTCACTATATTTTTCTTGGTAAACTGATTTTAAAGAATCATTGCTGGAGTCACACCAGCAGCAGGTTATTTCAATAGTTATCATGCATGAAGCTGGGGGGAGAGGACAGGAAGGAGTTATCTATCCTAAATGTATTTTTCTTTGAACTAAATTTAGCTTATGCACTTCAAACATATCAGTTCATTTAGTCCTTTTCATGATGATAGCTCTGCAGTCCATCTTGGTGAAAGCAGCCTGTACACAATCAGAACTGTTGGCAATTATTGTTTTTTCTGTTTTCATGCCAGCGGTGACCAGTGGGAGCATTTTGCCCTGGGCTTTCAGCACAGAAATACTGATATTGCCTGTTTTTTAGAATTTTCCTCTGATATTGCCTGTTTTTTAGAATTTTCCTCTTGAATGAAGAACATTTTTAAAGACCAGGATGACTATGTATTGCCTCTCCCCCCCCCAAAAAAAAAAAAAACAAAAACCCCACCTGAACAGTTTTGTTCCAATATTTTTTTTTACTTGAAAAATTTGTTTTAACAGTTTTAGTGAAATGTTTTGAGGCCTGGCTTGAGTACACGCAAATCAAAATAAAGCCTCCCAGACAAGAATGGTATGTATGCTTGTTTTCAGAGCAACGAAACATTTTGGGTGACTTGAATCCTTCCTGGGCTAGTGTTTTCCCAAGGAAAACAAACATTTTTCAGTTCCTTTTCAGTTGAGAAAATATTTATGTTTCAATTTTTGGGTTTCCTGCTTAGATCAAACATTCAG